TAAGGAAGTGAGCGTATGTGGGGAATAAAAAGGGTGTAATTAAATGCGTTGATATATCTATATATGTATAAATAAAAAGGAAAGTGTGTTGTACGTAGACGCGAAAACTACTCTACAGATTTCGCCGAAATGTTCACACTATGTTCTTATTTGTAGCAGGAGTGTTTGAAGTGTGGTTTGAATTAAATCAGACATGTGGGGGCATTATTGTTGATTTATTCGTTTATGACTCAAGCGCCCCTCGCATAACCCGCCACAATGTCAAGGATTAAGGTAGTTTTCGCTGCAATTGTGACATCGGCCGGAATTATTAGTTGGAATCTTACTCAAGTAAATAAAATTTATCCAAGACGGTGTCATTGCTATTGCAGGCCCAAATTTGAGGAAGAACGTTTTAACAATAATAAATTTGACAACCACGTGCAAACCAGAGCATAGAACAAAACCATACTTGCGAGAAAGTCATATATTTTTCGTTTTGTTTTCATTTCATCTATTAGAATTTTTGCACAGCAGAGCGTAAAACGTGATTAACAATCATGTGACCAGTAATGTGTAATACACTACAATAGGGAATCATTGCCGAGTTCACTAGTATTAAATAAAACTAGTAATTACTGATTTTCTGTACTAACAAAAGTCATTCAATATATCAATTATGCTATAAGTATTAAATAACAAATAAAATACCTTGTATGTTCAGCAGAAGTGACAAATTGTTTATGAGAGAATAAACTGGCCAGCCACTATTCGTGTAGCCCTCACCCTTCCGTGAGAAAAATCCTGAGTGTCTCTGGTCATAACTGGTGAAAATTCGGAGAGTTTATAAAGCCAATGCAACTTCTTGGTATTTAGTCAAACCACCAAAACCATAATTATCAGGGATTCTTGTACACAGTTATGTCATCACATACTTCAGGATAATTGTTGAAATCAACTATTGTCAACCTTGGAAACAATATATCAATGGCTAAATCGATAATTTAATACAGAATTCTAATGGCACATCACAGAAACTAACTGGATTTTTTTTAAATGACACGAATTTGCCACATCATTTTTTTCTTGTCCTTACGAATGTAAGTGTATTGTAATCGTGCTCCGGAATTTGTGAATTTTCGACAGAAAACCTTATTGTCGGTCCCCTCGTAATGAAATGGATAAATCCTGTTCTTTTATATAGAAAATTACTAATAGGTGGTGTAGACAGAGTTCATTTTTGTGGGTTTTTGACACGGAAAACTCGATTGATGGAAACGCGTCTGTGGTCAACTGTAGGGCATGAATCGTTCAGCCGATTTTCTCCAAAATTGATATTCCCCGATCAATCAGTACAAACTCGAGGCTTTGGAAGTATCAAAGGGATATTTTGATTTCTGAGGATACTTTACAGGAAGTCCTAACAATATTTTCAACATTTCCTCAAAAAACGGCTCCAAATATTTTGATTAAGTTTTGTCCTCAGCGTAAAAGACTCTTAAAAGAATGGTTCGTTGGAATTCGATTTCTCAAAAATTGCAGAAGTGCAATTTTTTGGGAGGCGTCTTCTTGCAGCTACAATACTGAAGATTGAGATGTTCTTCCTTCATGAAATCTTTTTTTAAAAGAGTGATCTTGAAATAAGATCATGTTCAATTTTTCGAAAATATGAGTAGGTAGTAGTAATTTTGCACGAAATAGAGGCAATTTTACTCTTTAAACAATTTTATCTTAAAAACGCTCTTTTTTTTTTTTTTTAATGTTCTCATATGCTTCAAGGGAGGGTAAAACATGGTGCTAATCCCATTTCGGCAAACTCTCCAAGTTTTCGAAAATTCCAAAACGTTAACATTTCAAAACTACAAAATTAAAGTTAGCGATTTTTGGCCTTCAAGCCTTTTCTAAACGAGTGGTGTTGAAACAGCACGAACTTTCTTGCCCATATTTTCACGCAAAATTACGCGAAAAGTACTTGAATTTTTGAAAAATCGTTCATAAACTTATTTCAAAATCTATCTTTAAGGAACATATTTCATTAAGGAAAACATCTTTCTTTCATATTTCTAGTTGTAGGAAACTCCGAACAAATTTGAACCTTCACCATTCTCTTTAATGTCCTTCATACTATCCAACAAAATTTAATAAAAAATGATGAAGCCATTTTTTAATATTTGGAAAATGGTCCAGGGGCTTCATGTAAAGTGCCCCCAAATTACATTATCGGTTTCAAATTCAAGAGAAAAGAAAAGATTAAGGAGAAAATCGGCTGAACGGTTTAGCCGCTAGCGTTATTCACAAATGGCATTGTTCACGAATGGACAGATGTTTTGTTGTCATTCAATTTTTCGGTTGTAAAGATCCACAGAACATGGAATTTTGCTACACCACGTGATAGAGGATTTTTTTCTGATTTTGCAACTGGATTTATCCGCTTTTTCGTTACCAGGGCTCTGTAATAAGAGTTTTTGTGCCAAAAATTTGCCGTTTT